CTAGCATACATCTCAGCTAGCATTCGTTTATCCTACAACATAGGCACTCTTTCCTCAATAGAAATCACTCCCTCAAATTCATCTATATATATTCGTCTCGCACAGCCTCAACAGTGCCATTTCAAGCAGACTAGCTCTGGCCGACTGAAGGCCCCTTGAGCTAGCTTGCGTCCCCGCATGGCTTCTCCCGATATACAGTATCCAACTCGGAGAAATGTTCCCGACGTGGTTTGAAAGTCCTGAAGAGTGAATATATCTGAACCAACAAGATCAAATGACTTTCCCTATCCCTTACCCAAAAAACGAAAAGGAGGTGATGCTGAATCGCTGTGGGTGCCTCCAAGAAGCGGACATTCGAGGTGCATTGCTAACACGGTCAGCTCGTTCCCTCCTTCCTCTGTTGTCCAGAGCGCCCTTTCTGCAGCGCCACCCCGAAGACGACAAGGTAATTACGTTCCCTGCTAGTTACATTCTTTTATTACTAACTCGAATCAATAGCTTTCTCTTCGATAGACAACTCGGAGTAAGGCTGAAGCATAGTAAACTGGGCAATGGCTAGAGCTAACCGAAACGAGACTTTATGGGTATGACTTTTCTGCTCTTTCTAGCAGTCGCTGATTATGACCAGATCTCGAAAGTCTAGCTGCGAGCGTACAACCCCCAAGTCCTATGCCGAAGGAGCGAATCGCACAGCTTAACCACCGACGTCGAGCTCCTGAGAGTAATAGCTGGAGCCAACAGATGATCCAGACTTTATGGGTATGACTTGTTCTACCAGGCTATCTCCAGTAGTCGCCGAAGGTCTTGAAAGGCTATGAGCTTTCAAACCCCAGAACTACACCGAAGGGAAACTTATAAAGTCTGGTTGGTCTGTTGGTTCTAGCCATTACTCTCTAGAGCTCGCCGTGGGTGGTTGGCCTGTGCGTTTCGCTCTGCTCGTTATGACTTGTTCTACCAGGTTATTTCTGGTAGTCGCTGATTATGTCTAGATCTTGAAGTACAGCTTGTGATGATCCGGTCAGTCACATGGGTCGAGAGTGTTTCATAAATCAATGATATTGTTGATCTATATCACCAGTCACATTATATGACCCAGTATTTGCTCGAGCTTATCTAGAATTTAGATATTCAGGTCTCAACCGTGTGGAAATTGGTGACGTAGTAGTCAACCAGTAGCCCATGCATTATGAGTCGTGTGACAGGAGAGCCCTGGAGCAGCTTTGATGGTGGATTTGCCGAGCACAACTGCTACATCAGCTACCAATGTCTTACAGTGTACAATGTACAACTGCATCTTGGTGATTGCATATCCATGTTCGACATGAGTGCTGAGCAATGTGAGACTAGGAATTGCCTTGGTCTGGGAATACAAGGATGTTGTATATCAGTACCACTAGACCTCACCCATTGCCAGCTCGCTGTTGCATCCAGCGCAATACCCACTCAACCAAGATGCTCAAGTCTTGCGAGACCTCGAGCACTCTGGCAATCTTCTTTTGTACATCCTGGAGCCCTGAATCAGGGTTATCCACACCCTCCATTTCAGTGTCGCCAGCCGCTTCACCATCCACTAACCCAGCAGTATCCACAACTGAGATCTGGCCATTCAGTCCGACTTCAAAGCAAATTGCGATTTGTCTGGGGGTTGGAATGAATCGGGCAATTTCGGGACTCTCGTTGTAGTTCCTCTGGTCTGTGATGAGTAACATGAGAGCAGGCGATTGACCAAGTTGAATGCGCAATGTCACGTCGACTTTAACGTCGTCCACGGACAGTGGATTGGGACTCTTTCCTCTGGAAGGGGTTGAAATTTCAATTCCAGAGTCATTCTTGCTATCATCCGAGCTACTCAGACCAAGCAGTAGATTCAATCTCTCCTCGTTAGGATCATCGTTATTCAAGATTATGAGCCCGTCGTGGTCGGCAAAGAGGTCTGAAGTCTGGACAGGAGGAGTGCGGGTATTTTTGGGGGTTGCAGTTGAAAATTCGCCTGCGTTGGCCTGGTCCTTAGGAAGATGGAACGTCTTCCGAATCAAATTGGCTAGCAGGGCATACTGCCGTAGGATCTAAACTGGGTTAGTGGAAGACGATATCAGACAAAAACACACATACCGGAAGGATATCTGCGAGCTGTCGGGGGTGCGAGAAGGGTAGGTCATGGATGGTGCAACCAGTAATGGACTCAAAGGATTGGAAAGTGTAGTTATGTTGTTTCGTATACGGCTTGCCCTTTGAATCAACAGCATGTACTGACATCCGGCGCTTTCTACGGCCAATTTGAGGGGATGAAACCGGCGACGTCAAATGCGAAGATTCTGATACCAACAACGCATCGTATGTGATCATCTTAAACTCTTGTGGTAGCTGCATGCCGAGCTGACGATAAATCTCGGAGGCTGCAAGAATAGGAACGTCGAGTGCAGGCTCAAGTTTACCGACGAATCGGCGATTGGGTGATGATGACTCCAGCATGCTAGAGTCTAATGCCATAGGGTCATGGTTGCCATGGGTTAACCGCGTGGTCTGCGGAGGATCAAGCCAGTTCACAGACCCAGCGGCACCATTTGATGGAAGCAATTCGGTGCTTTCACCTGCAGTAAAAATTTCACTTCCAACCCATTCCTTTGAAATTCGCAGTGACGGATACCCCTCTTCGCATTCAATCATGACCGCCCATGATCTGCCTTGATCATCCAACTCGCCCTTTGAACCTTGATCATGTTGCGGGTCAATCTCCATAGCGTCCGAAGACGGTAGGCTCTGCTTCGCATCCAGGACTTTGGCTTGCTCAACCCAATATTCTAAGCCAAGTCCGATTCGGGTCCCCTTATGCATGGTGGGACGTCCGAGCACACCTGTGCAAAGGTGCTGATACTCGCCGCCGTGCTTCCCATTCTTGCTTTCTTCCACCCAGATCCGCCTGAAGTTCTCTTCAAGATTCTCCAAGGCCTCAAAGCAATTTACCTCCTGGCTGAGTTTGTCAAGCTTTGCAAGCCATTGTAGGTTTTCATGGAACTCGTGGAGTGACCTCCATTTCCCACATTCGGCGTCTTCCGCGGACTGGGCGAGGGTACGTTTCAAGACCGCTGTAGCTTCCTCCCGCCGCACACCTTCGGTGTATTCAGGCGTGGCATATCGTAGACTCACATCCTTGACAACATCCTGGCCAGCGTAGAAATCAATCTCAAGATCGACAAAGTTACCGGCGATGTTGAGATTATCGTCTTGCCAAATGGACTCGAAATCTTCCAGTCGACTCAGCCGTTCTACACTTTCACGTGAAACCCCTCTACCAGAGACTCGGGCCCGTAGAAGCTGAACGACCTGCTCGACGCGATGTCTCTGCTCTTCGTCGTTGTCGCGCGTGACTCCGAGCTTGAGTCCCTGCATTGAGAGGGTTTGAATGTCGCTGTCATTCATGCCCGAACCAACAAGACCATCGTGCACTGCCGGTGAAGGACTGATGCCAGTATACCCACCGAGCGCCAAGAGAGCCGAAGGCGAGCTAAAATTGACAGGATCGTCGACACCGGGGACGGCGAGAGGGGTAGCGTATTGATGGGACGAGACACTCGTGTGATGCGCATGCGCAGGTCCTGAGCCTGTTGGTGTTCTCATTGAAGGCGATTTATGGGCGAGGGATCGGGCTAGAGGAGCGGAGGATGGATGGGGAGAGGTGAGGTGAGTTGGCGTTGCGCCAGGTTTGGCCGAGGGAGTCGCCATGATAAAAGGAGAGGATTGACAGATAAAAGTGTCAACAGTCAATTACTTATAGTCAAATCCGTCCGAAAAATGGGTATCATAAGGTATCGAAGCACAGAACGCAAGGAAGGCGGGTATGTTTGTATGCGACTCAATTCTCACTGGCGCAAGTGCCAATTTGGCGGGTGCACAAGGGAAGAACTGTCGAATGATTGTACAGATCAAGTCTCATGACGCATCGAAGCTACCTCGTTCCCATGGACACTGCAATTAACTAACGCGATTGGTTTCGAGAAGCCAAACAGATAGCTCCGTAGAAAGACACAATCACGTGCGTTTGCATTGTTTGCATCTTTGTATTCATCTCCCCTCCGGTCTCGAAGCGCCTTCGAAATCAGGTCAACTATTGAAATGTAAATGAAACAAACATACCAAGCCATGAGGACCGGGAGATTGGGCACTAGCACGGAATAGATATTCAACACTGCGAAGTCTCCCAACTCCACTAGCAACTATTCAACCCCTCTGCCCTCTGCAGGACTCGCACTGCATGGAAGCAGAATTTGCTCGGTCAAATAAAACAGAGGATCTCCACCTTAGGAGCATACCAAAAATCGATGATGGTTCTCTCACCAGTGATCCCGTCCCTGAAGTCTTCAATGCTTACACAATTGCCGATTACGGATTCATTTTAATGTCGAAAATTCCAGGACTCTCTCTAACACAATGCTGGGAAAATTTGACTGGAGATTCCAAGACTTCTATTGTCCGACAACTTGAAAGCTTTATCCTGGAGTGGCGCCAGATTGAAGGACCTCTCTTTGGGTCCATTGATGGTGGTCCATGCGAAGATGTTCTCTTCAAGTATCCATGGGATGCAGAATATCGGTACTACGGACCCTTCTTAACAAGAAAGGAATTCAATCAAGGGTGGTTGAGGCTCTCCGTTACGCCAGACCCAATGCGCAGCTCACAAAAAGAGATGAGCCTCTAGTGGAGAGAATTCTTGTATCGCATAGCCAGGATGAGAGGAAGGTACTCACGCATGGTGATTTGCACCAAAGCCATATTATTGTGAACGGTGATATCATCACCGGAATCATAGACTGGGGCGCAGCTGGCTACAGCATATCGGCAAGGGAATATTTCTGTTTACAGTGGCAAGCATTGGACCTAGAATGGAGGAAACTTATACCCACTATACTCGAAACCGACGAGTATGAATTTTGGAATGAAGTCAATCAATCCATGGTAGTTTATACCAGGATCTGAGCTAAATGCAACATGCTGGATTCATTTTAGAGTCGTCCAGTTGACACCTCCGTTGCCTGAATAGCTTGTGCCGGCTTCCCAACCATCCCCTTCCAGAAGTGGTATGTGCCAGACGGGACTAGCTCTTCAATCTCCAGTGACAGCAGGATGTCATAAACCCAATCCTGGCATCTCTTCTTTCCATCCCTTGGTGCAGGCGAAGATTTGATAACTTGGATGGCCTGTTGACGTTGCTGTTCACTAAGCTCGCCAAGTTTGACCTCGCCAATGGCATCCATGGTGCGCAGGCCGGTACCCATTCTCGATTCGAATTGAAACCAGGGTCTGTCGATGTCGATCACCTCCACGTGGAATAGGTCGCTAATAGGGCTTGAGGGCTTATGCATCGTAAATCCCCAATGAGACCGGTGCTGGGGATCTTCGCCTGCCCCGGATATCTCTATAGACAGCACATACACCATGATTCGGTGATCCTGGGCATACAATTAGCCTGGTGTCTCGACAAGTCGAAGGGTAATCAAATACCTGAATTCTGTTCCAAATTCTTCGTTTTTTGGAGACTTTGGGGATATGTTGTTTCCCTGCGGGAATGAAACCGCTATTACGAAATCCCCCAAAGAGAAAAAGACCCTAAAATAATCATAACGATTGTGCGCCCGCCTTGTTTCACACGTGTGCAATTGGGATTTCGTTCATGCTCGGCGAACCATATCTTGAGTCCAAAGCGCCTGCTCATTAGAGCGGTGTAACAGAATGTGTTCTGGAAGGGAAGTACGATTTGACTGGCTAGTATGACCCTCCATCGAGATACCAGTATCGTGGCATATGCACGCAGCCATCAAAGGATACGCACATTCTTCGTTCATTTTGTAGCCTCCAAAGCTTCGGGATAGATTAGGTCTCCTACACTGTTTGGCTATTCGATGAGAATATTAGGAATGGTCACAGAAAAGTAGAATCTATCTGAGAAGCTATCTGAGGATCAGTCAGTTAAATAGTAACTAGCGTAATCGGTAAACCGCCCATATATGCAATACAGACATCTGCCATGTTGAATGTGTTCTAGCCAGCTTCAGGCTTGACTCTGTGCTGCTTCGTTTGTAGAGACAAAAGGCAATGGTAGTTTTGGCTACCTGAGGTCTCTAGACTCTGATGCTCCACCTACCCCACCATACAGCCGATGTCATATTGGTGGGGGAGGCGGGATCTACCCTCAAAGATGGCCGAAGCTTTTGTTTAGCCAGAGTGGCGCGCTTTCCGCTTTTACAAGTCGCATGACCGGAAGGTACGACCGGGAAGGAACATGTTAGACACCTGCAGCCAAAGGTTAAATGCCTGAATTTGAAGGGTTGATGTCTGAATACAGACCGCTTTCGACACCGCTCTATAATGCTAAACAGACTGGATCTTCTCCAAGTGCCCGGACAAGCCGAACAGTTGATGAAAGGAGTTCGCGTCGACCGGGGGTAGTGTAAGCCCGGTGATACAGTGCAACGAGGCGTGTGCAAGCACAGAGACCAAGTCGCGAGGTCCAAATATTAGAATAATCATGACGTTCTGCAATGCAGAACATTCAGCGATTAAACTGAATAGAACAGACACTACACTTGATCTAAGCCAGAGGCAAAGAGAGCTGAAGAAGAAAGAAAAGAAGAGGAAGTTCTGGGGGCAGGGCCACCTTCTTAGGTATACTGAGGGCGGTCGGTTTATGCCACTATTCACAAATGAGACAAACAACGACATGGGCTCGCTTAATTGAATGGCAACGTGATCATGAGAGCAGGAACGGCTTCTCTTATTTCCGGCCGACTTGTTTCACAACTGCCATCGCTTTGGTATGAAGCTATAATGTTTTTCCAACTTTCTGATATCAACAATCCCCGCTAGACTACTTTAGGTATTTCTGGTCAGGTCCACTTTAATTCCGGCTTATATTCACCGCCTTCAAAACCGCCTGCCATTTCCATTAAGCTATGATCCAGCTCTCTTGAATTTGATTATATCCGACCTGCTACCTGCAAGGCCATTACTCAGTTACCCACTGCCTTACTATATTTGTATCTCAATGTTTGCAGCCAGAGCGTTTGGACGACAGGCCCGGGTTCTTCCCAAATGGACTCGATTCCGTTGTGTATCGACATTGGAAGGGTCTCCGTACATAGTATGTGCTTGTTACACCTTCCAAAGCGCTCCTTGAAGCTAAATTATTCATAGTATGTGTTCCCAACTGGACCAGCAAGTGGAACCCACATCTTGTCATTATTACCCTCCGAGCCAGTCAACCCAGACCTAGCTATCGGACTCGCGACTCAACTGCCACCGACAACAGACACCTTCAAGGAAAACCCCAAATTCCTGAATATTGTACAAGAAGTGTGCTCAGAATATGCGCATGAAGACCCCGATGCCAAGTCGCAGGCGCAGGTCATGGTGTCTGTGGCCGGAGCGAACCTGAACTCAGGCGGCGTGTTACTAACCGGTCAGCGCGGGAGACGTCGTGGAGCCGACTCGACCAGTGGTGCTAGTGGTCAAGGTGGTGCAGGCTCTGGTGGACGTGGTGGTTGGATTCATATTTCTGATAACAGACGGCCGCCTGACTATGGGCGGATTGCTTGGTAAGCTTGCTTGTGTTTCAACAGGTACGTTTTATTTCATACTAATTCCATTCAGGCCAGAGGATATGTTCGGTAGCCTTGAGGTGGATGCCAATGGGCAGTTCGTTGGAGACAATGGCAATTACCAGCCGAGTGGTATGTTTTCCGATATGAGGCTCAACAGGCCAAGCTGATACTTAGCAGGTACCTATCGTATCCTGACTCGAGATGGAATGTAAGTACCCCCTTTCTTGGATGTTTTATCTATGAGTAACCAATGTTGATTGGTTGATATAGTTTCGGATTGAGTTCTTTCCTCAGAGAAAAGCTGGTCCAGAAGCTACGAGAGCTTGCGAAGTGATATCTCAAAAAATCGGGTACATCGCCCACGGAATCCTATGTAATATATATCCTCACTCAGAAGTCCTCTCGAAGGTCTACTCTTTTTTTCTTTTCAACTTGCATTCGGTTGCTGCTGAACTCAAAAGTTCGTGACAATTCTCTTGCATTGAACTGTTTTCAACTCAATCATGGAGCTGAGCTCACTCAATCTATTAGATACATGTCAGCTGGTAAATATAAATCGACCATGTTGTTCTCGTCTTTGATTTGACAAAAAAAAATATATATATACATTAGCGAGAAGCATGGTTGACCGAATAATAGAAGCAAGGTTCACTTGCTTCATTGCGTGTATTATTTCTTGAAGAAATTGGTAATTCGCTGCGACCCATCTGCTGCCTTCGTCCCACTTGACTTTTTCATAGGGCTATTATGCGTAGCACTGCGCAACTTCTTCTTTTGCGGCGATGGCCTAGTTGTATCTGAATCGACCTTTTGCTTCTTACTTTCCTGCGCGGCATCAGGAGCCTCTGGACTATGCTCCCTTTTGACAGCTGGCACCGGTATTGGGGCATTGTCCTCGCTCCATTCTGAATTCTTAGTAGGGCGCTCGTCCTTAACCATCTCCACTTTCGGCAACGGCTCCTTTGAAGAGGGGTTTGGACTCTCCTTCGTTTTCGCGTTGGCAAAGAAGTTCGCAATATTGCTCTTGTTTTCCTTGCTGTCGACAGGAACAATAAAGTTCGGGGAATTATTTCCAACTTTTCCAACCTCTTTGGGGACAGGATAGCACTCTAGTTCACCCTCGTAAGGCTTGAGAATTGACTGGAGCTCCTTTGACCAGGTCTTTTGGCGGGGGTCTAGCCATTTGTTCATCGCCTCATTCCCAGAGTCCAGAATGACGGGCATACGGTCATGCAGGAATTTCAAGTAGGAATTAGAAGAGGTTGTGATCACCGTGTACGTGTAGAGCTTTTCGTCGGAACCTGTGCAATCGTCAGCCCGGCTTGATGTTTTATATCAGAAAGAAGGCATGCCCTCGTAGGAAACACAGTCCCATAATCCAGCAAAGCACATCAGCTCTCCGTCTTTGCGCCGGATAAAGTGTGGAACCTTTTCCTTTCCCCCAGGCCCCTTCTTCAGCCACTCGTAAAAGCCCTGGCAGACGACAATGCATCTTTTTCGTCGTTTCATGGTAGTCCATATCCCCGAATCATCGATCAGCGAGTCATCGCGACAGTTGATCGTGCGCATCATGGATCCGTAATCTGGCTGGCGCTTCGTCCAGAATGGAATGAGACCCCATTTCATGCTCTGGAGCTTGTGTTTGATAATCGTGTTGTCTACTGACTTAGCATCCGAGCTCGCGTCATCTTTTCCCTTTTCTAAATCATGGTTTTGGTGCGCGCTATCAACATCTTGTTGGCTCTTTTTATCGGTGATCTCAGCGCGATAGACAGCGCCGAAGTTGCCCGGTGCAAAGTTGTATGTCTCTCTTACTGAATCGTCATCCGGTGCTTCATCCACTTGCATACCATGCTCCTGCAGCTGTTGTTGGATATACGCCAAGCGCTTGGGATCGTCAGCTGGAGGACAGTCTAGATGTAGGAACCGTAGCTTACCACACCCAAAGCGTATCGCCCACACATTATCAGGGTAGACCACTAGACTGATCCAAGAGCGATGTCTCACAATTAAAGCTGAATGAGAACAGCTCATTTTCCAGGCGGAATGGGCGGAAAGATGAGTGCATACTCCAGCGGGCGACGTCATCTGGCGGAGCGGAGCTTGGACCACCAGAAAATCGAGGGCGGGCTCTCGTCACCATATACCTTTTCCATCTCCTCTCCATCCTCGTCAATACCCCAGGTCGTATCAGACAATCACCCGCTCAATCAAAATCAAAACTTGAAATCTCAACCGAATACCCACTCACACATCCCCAATGTTCCGAGCAGCATCACGGCGCACGAGCGCGCCTGCCGCAAAACTTCTACAACCACAATCTAAGAGCCTCGCCCGCTCAATATACATCAACAGCACCACCCGACCAACCCTCCAACCCCGCATCAACAATGGCAAACCACTCGCAAGCCCCTACATCTCCGGCACACGGCACCTCACGATCCTGCAGAAAATCAGCCGCAAATACCGCGAAGCATCTAGAGGAATCTGGCGCAAGAACCCCGTCCTCATGCCACTAGCAATCTTCTCGGTTGTCGGCGGAGCCTTCATCTTTGCCTACATCTCCTACGTAGAATTGACACGTGTCGGACCGCAGTACCACAAATTCCCGCCGCCGGTGGCCGACGCTCTCCGCACGGCTATCTATTACACCGAGATCGACCTCAACCCAGCCAAGGCGATGAAGTCGTACAGAGAGGCACTGCACACAGCATTCGAGATGGGCATACACCCGTTCTCAGATGAGATCCTTGGAATCAAGCTTCAGGTTGCTATGATGCTGGAGAAGGCCGGACTTGTGAAGCCGGCGATTGATGTGCTGGAGCGAACGAAGAACGAGGCTCTGGTCTGGGTGGAGCAAGTCACAGCAGGTAACGCTGCTGCCGCGGCCGAGAAGGTGAAGCAAGCGAAGGGACAGGTCCAGAAGACCGCGCCCATTGTCCAGGTTAACAACGAGGTGATTCAAGAAAGCCAGGAAGATCTGCAAGCACTGGCGCAGTACGAGGCTCGTCAGCGAGACAAAGCGCTCAAGAAAGTCGTCGGCATTGCGATGAAGCTTGGCGAGCTTTATTCCAGCGAGTATATACAAGACGAGAAGAAAGCCGAGGCCGCGCAGGTCGCTGCTGTGGAGATCTGTCTGAAGGAAATGCGCCGCCGCCAGATGCTGGGCCTTCCTGTTGGTAGCGCTAGCAGTGGCGAGGGGGCAGACGGCGAGGCCTGGCTGAACCTTACTGAGATAGCGACGGCGCTGGCCGAGCTTGCCGCTACCTATACCGCCAAGGAGCGATATGAGCTAGCCATGCCGCTGTATATGCGCTCGTTGGATTTGATCCGCGCCGCTGAAGGAACTTCTATATCTTGCAAACAGGTGGTGCTGCTGAACGATGTTGCTACCGCTCTAGTCGGCCAGGTTCAAAAGCCTGCCAGGGCCCAGCCGCAGGAACCTGTTACAGCGGAGCAGACTGTTGAGGCTGCCCAGAAGTGGGCGGAGAAGGCTATTGAGGTTGCGGCTCACATTAAACCCCCGATACGTGACGAGGAGTGTGACATCACATGTGTGGTTGCGACGTATAACCTTGGGGAGTTGGCTGAGCTACAGAAGAAGCCACAAGTCGCTAAGCAGCGGTATACTGAGGCTAAGGCGTTGGCTGATGGGATTAAATATGAGGAAGGAAGTATGATGGCCAAGGAGGCTTTGAAGAGACTTGGAAAGAAATAATGGGTAGATACGTGAGGGCCCTCTGTTCAAATGTACATTATGACTATTGTTGGAAATAGAAATCTCCAAACTATTCTACATATAATTTAGACATCCAACAGCTACCGTAGCATTGCCCTACATCAGGATTCAGAACACAAGTGGGAGGATAAATGAGACAGATATATAACATAACCATACGGTACGATTTACAAGAGATTTTTAATAAAGAAAAATAGGAAACATTTTGATGCCTTAACTGGTATTAGAACATCACAGGTCTTGCACAAGATTCCATACATTTGAAATGTGGATCGAGTAGGCTAGACATGTCAGAAAACCTCCAGGCCGGGGACGACTTCGTCCCGGCGAGAAGTGCTTCATTGCTCGTGGCTCATACATCCCAAACCAATGCGCTTCTGGCCGTATCTTTTGAACTTTTTTTCAATTCCCTTGTCAATAGATCAAAAAGAGGCTCCTCAAGCTCCGATACAACAACTCAAATCTATGCGCGCGACATAACACCCCAGGCACGGATCTTGTTGTCGGTGTAACCGGCGAACAGGGTCTGGCCGTCAGCGGACCAGGCCAAGCTGATGCACTCGGGGTCACGGCTCTTCTTGCCCTTCTCAACGAACTCGGGCTTGAGCTCATCAACCTTGCTCTTCTTCTCGAGGTCGAAGATGGTGATGGAGCTGCTGGTGGCAGCGCACAGCCAGTAGCGGTTGGGGGAGAAGACGAGAGCGTGGATCTCATCGCCAGCGGAGAGGGAGTAGAGGTGCTTGGACTCGTTAAGATCCCAGAGCATGGTGGTACCGTCCTTGCCACCGGAGGCGCAGAGGGATCCGTCGGGGGAGATAGTGACAGTGTTGATGTATCCGGTGTGACCGATGTGGTCGGTCTGGAGACGGCAAGAAGCGAGCTCCCAAACCTAGACGCGGATCGAATGTTAGCGTCGATACCCTCAAAAAAAGAATGTCAAGTGTCAAGGAAAAATTTTTCCAATCCTTCTCTCGTTCGATTTAAAAAAACAAAAAAATTGTTGCTGTGCCCATCAGGCAAATTGGGTGAAAAATTGTCTCATGGCCCCGAAGGGCTCTGAAGTAGCAAATACGTTTATGCAAACATCACGCGGGCAAAGCAAGGTGGGGAGGAAATTGTGTAGGAAAATTCGGAGTCGATAGCGTACCTTGACGAGCTTGTCCCAGCCAGCGGAGACAATGACGGGGTTCTGGGGGTTGGGGCTGAAGCGAACGCAGGAAACCCACTCGGTGTGGCCCTTCTCGGTGATGGTGAACTTGCAGTCACCAAGGGTGTTCCACAACTTGATGGAGCGATCACGGGAACCGGAGACGATCTGACGGTTGTCGGCGGAGAACGAGACGGACAGAACATCGTTGGTGTGGCCGACGAAAGTGCGGGTGGTGTTACCGGTGGACAGCTCCCAGAGACGGAGAGACTTATCCCACGAAGCGGACAGAGCGTAGGCACCATCGGAGGAGATCACCTATAACGCAGACAAGACCATCGGTCAGCCAAAACCATTCCATCTTTTTTTTTTTTCCGAAATGCGCCATCCAAATCCATGTGTCGCATCCAATGGCTTGTGGGTGTGGTTCATTCGGGAGAAGAAAAACGTACACAGTCAGAGACGATGTGCGAGTGACCCTCGAGGCTGCGCTTGGGGTAACCGTAGGCCTGCTCATCACGGGTGAGGTTCCAGATGATCAGGGTCTTGTCGCGGGAAGCGGACAGCAGCATGTTGGGGCTATTATCAAACATTCAAGTCAGAATTTTGTCCCTTCAAAAATTCAATCCCCCGATCGGGATAGGTCACTCTTACTTCTCCAGGGAGGTGGCGAGGGAAGTAACCCAGCCATTGTGGCCCTCAAGGGTGCCGCGAAGAACCAGCTGCTCAGCCATGATGGGAATGAGACAATGAAGGAGAGAGAGGGATGGGCGGAGATTGTCGTTGACTCTGGGGGGGGGAGGTAAAATCGAGATGGGAGGCAGACGTGCCCGCCCAAGCCCTAAGCCGCTTCGCTGCTCTCCTTGTGTGGTTCCGTGGAGCCCTAATACTAAGCGAAGGGTCACATGACCTGGATCTATACGGACTACGATGTATATTGAGATGGATAATTATTGATTTACATCTAAGTCTGTCTTATTCGAATTTAACAATCGCTTTATTTTCTATTCTTATTGTGAATCCTACACCTATTGATCCCAGTATCATCAGATATACAACATTCTTAATACACGCCTCCTATGGACAATTAAACATGGCCAATGACAACTATAGTACAGTTTTGAAATCGACAAACTATCCAGTTCAATCTCTTCACAGGCCCTTACGAGTGGAACACCTGAACATCAGGCATTCTCCCCAAGCCATTACCACCGCCAATCTTCTTATTCTTGGCCTTCTCAAAGCCAAGAGCGCTCTTATCGCGAACATGCTCTCTGAGCAGCGTGAGAACCTCAGAGTCCTGCCAGCGTGACGGAATAGGCCGGTAAGCAGCTCTGAAAGCGCCAATAGTCTGCGCCCATTCACCGCTCTTGGCACCGGTCTCCTTCCAAGTCTCGGTGATGGTATCCTCCTTAGGAGCGTCGGGTGAGATATCCTCAGGCGGGTCCTGCGTGGCCCAGTAGTAGATGTCCCAGTCGTTCTCATCGAGGAAGTTGTCATACGCGACAAGCTGATCGTAGTCCATCTTGCCCAGGTAGACATCTGCGAAAGTCGAGAGGAGCAGGTCCGACTCGAGGATTCCACGCTTGCGGCTTTGGTCTGGAGTGGAATTGGTTAGCTTCAATCATTCTTGACATAGATGCACCAGGTCCTCGGCTTTGGTTTGGGACTGAGGTGCAAAGCATGCATGGAAACGGGTGTACGAACATAGCAGACGTGCCCTCTTCGTGACAAGATCTTCCCCAACCCTCTTCAGAGGCTCAATCTTAAACGTAATACCCTCCATCTCACCAACTTCAAGCTCGGGCTTGCGCGCTCCATCGTCTTGACGACCACCGGTGAAATGCTCAATCCGTCCCGGGTACGGATCGGACGGTCTGTAGTTGGGGTCGGCTGAGTTCAGCATCTCCGGTGGCGGGGGCTTCTCGCCGACACTGGGGAAGTCCTTTGTCATAGTGGAGGTTGTGTTGGGCACGAATTGGTTCGGGACCTTGTCGGTCTGGTTGGCGCGGTGCGCCTTTACCCCAGAGGCAGCTTCGTCGTTGCCATCTTTGAGACGGAGAGCTGTCGCGCCGAATTGGCGGTGGCCGTTCAGTCTTGTGATTGTGCTTAGGGATGATGGCACTGGTCGCGCGAGGCGATGGAGTATACGTGGGGCGGACATTTTGTTGTAAAGTGTCCTATAGAGAGGGAGTTGGGAGCTTTTTTTTCCTCTAGGGATGAGTGATGCTTGGCCTTGACATCATCCGGCGTAATAAGCCCGGGCAACCGAAAAGCTCCTGCAATGCCCGGTGTTTGTTCTGTTTGCAATGCTAAACATTGACCTGGCAGGCCACTGAGAGGCCGTGAATTACACACTTGTCGACACGGTGCAGTTCTTTATGTCTATTTTTGGGCTTTAGAATTGAGACACTATTTGTTCGACGTCTTGGCCTGTCTGATATTTTAACTTCATCGGCCTCGGGATCCCTTTACCAGATGTCAATCTAGATGTATACACTGACCTCACATGCACCAGAAGCCCTGGGGAAGCTCCCTCCAGGGCTATCTACCAAGGCACATACTATTTAAGCAGTGCTTTACCGACATAGAGAACTATATAATCAATCCATAAATACTCAGGTAATACTACAAGGTCGAAGATGCACCCTGTAAAGTATAGCTAACCACAATCCCAGGACAACACAAGCGATAAACAGAGAATATTATTAGCGCCAGGCTGCAGAAAGCATGGTGTACATTTTATATCATTGAGATCATGACTGTTGAACAGAATGCCACTCGACGTTAGAGCAAAAGGATTTGCAATGCAACCGCTGCAAAAACCAAAAAAAGAACCATCAAAGATGCAACCATTCCACGGACTAGTAAATCTAGATAAGATGCTTAGATCTACAGGAACCAAATTGTCAGTAACCAACTCCACCTTCCACCACAACCATAATTTCACATACCTGAAGTAAGCTCTCAGGTAAACAACCTGCCAAGCACCAAGCCCGATAAGCATGCCCATAGTTCCGAAAGCGAACCACTTCACGCGCTCGTTGGTGCTCTCATTGGTATCACGCAGACGCTGCTCACGCGCACGCAGGTACTCCATCTCAGTCACGATATCGGCGACCATCTCCTCGATGCGGCGTAGGTCTGTTTCAACGGGCTTGAGCTTCTCCTGCGACTGAATGCTGTTCCAGTCGCGGGCGTCGGCGCCAATGTCGACGTCGAGTTCGACGGGGCGGGAGGGGTTCTGGATGGTGTCTGATGGGGTAATGTTGATTTAGCATGACAATATCTTTAACTCCGCCTTTTCTTCGGTGCATTGTTGGTGTTGTGCAAAGGGCTACCACTTACTGTGGCCGACAAGCTGGTTCTCGAAGCAGACGTCGAAAGCCGTGTCCGCGGGCGAAGTGAAAAGCTGACGTGTCTCTCCGACGACATCCTTAGGGCGACCGTAGTCATTGCCCATAGCGTCCTTGATCTATACACAGAAAAGGAAGAATTAGTCGCGATCCACAATCTGCAATCTGCAATTCGGCGGTTTGGTCTCCGAGTCCCAGCAGACGCAGGACGGATTCCCATCCACATCCAGACATAAGTCCACATACATGAATGTTGACCCTCTGGCCGTCACCCTTCGTACCGCCAACGATGGCAGTGACAACGACCAGCTGGTCCTTAGAGACGAAGTTGCGAATGCATCGCTCGTTCTTGCCGCTGCCGGAGGTGGCGATCAGGTCGAATTTTAGCGCGCTGGCAAGCTGGACGAAGACAAAAAGGAAGCTGAAGATGGCCCTCAGCGTAATTGGTGAGGTGCCCATTGTTGCGGCGTGGAATTGGCGGTTGTAAACACGGATGCTTGCTGCTGTTGATGACACCTGGTAAGGGGAGTGTGGGATTAACTTTGTTCCGGTGTTACGGTCTACGATCTATACTTCGACCGAGGGATTCTTTTCACGCAGCAAATAGTTATTGCTAGGTCTAATTGTTTATTTATGTAAGTCTAGTAGTTACTTGTATTGGAGTTATAATGTTCACAGAATAATGAAATGGTTTCTGAATGTCAGGGTACAAAAATAGCCCCAGTGTAGGTACATAGGCATGGTATCTCGAAATCCACGAAAACAATCAAAGCGACGTCCCACAAAGGGACAAAATAGAAAACCCGAAGTCCGAATTAATTGTTCCGTCCCATGCAGAAGGTAGAAAATAAAATGGCGCACACAAGCGCAAAGGAAGATAATAAAAAGCCACCCGAACAGCAAGGAAACGAGGACACGACTCTATGTGAATAAGATAAAGAGGAAAGGAATGACAAAGATCGCAGTGTTGTCGCACAAACAAGGAATATCAAAGCGATGGACATGATATGTAGATCATTAGATGGATTGGAACGCTCAGCAAAGCAAGACAGTCGAGAATGTCGTCAGGATTTCAACCCTAAGCCTCGACCTTCTTTCGACGCGAGAAGAAACGGGAGAAGCTACCGTCCTTCGTCTTAGCGCCCATTGGTGTTGATGAAGCTCGCGCGGGGGCTGGAGGAGGTCCGGTATTTCGGAGGAAATCCGCCAAATCACCGGTGTTGGTCGGGCGATTTGAGAGAGAAGGCAGGGTGCCATTGTTGCGCTGCTGACCGACCTTGGTAGCGTAGTCAGAATGGACCTTGGTGGGGGCGGTTTGGGTGCGCAAGGAGTTATGAGAAGTGCGGAGCAAGCGGGCCTTCATGCCCGATGCACCGGAGAGATTATTTGATGCAGGAGCACGAACGGCAAATGGCTGTGGGGGTTGTTCGGAGGAAGGGGGAGGAGGAGCGTTGAGTAGGAAATCCATCAGGCTCTCCTCCTCGCGCTTGGGCTTGGGGTTCTGTTCCTGTTCCAGAAGCTCTTCTAGATACGCGTCATCGTCATCGTCGTCAATGGCGTACGGATCTGGAGCACGGCGTTGCTTCCGAACAGGCGGCTGAGGCTCGTCGAAGTCCATGGCGCTTGTCGACGCTGGGGCCTTGTTCTGATTTGAATCCAGCAAGCCGGACCGCGAACCAAGAGATGTCAATGATTTATTGGGTGTAGATTCATTCCCAGTGCTGACGAAAGAACTGGATGTGGTGGTCTCCATCTGAAGATCATCCGAATCAAGGGCGTTGAAAGGCGCAACTGTCCGAGGAATCCGGTGAGCACCTGCAGGCATAGGAGGTCCCTCGCGAATGAAGTCAATGAGGTCCGAGGTCGGAGATCCTTTCGTCTCAGCAGACCGAGCTTGAAGCTTAGGTCGGTTTCCACGGGAGGCAGAAGAGACGGCGGATGGAGGACGAACAGACCGCGTGCCCTCAGCGGAGATAGAGGGTTTGAACTCGTTTACCCCACCAGCAGGACCAGTCGATTTCATGAAATCCGCAAAGTCGCGTGTCGAGTCCGAGGGTGGGACTCGCGCATCCCGCGCCGGCCCAATCTTGCTAGACCTCGATGTTGATGACATGTTGGTCAAGCGCGTGGTAAGCGGGATGTGCTTGGGCGAATCAATGGATCTGGTGTGGGAAATTGGAGACATCTCTTCGGTTGCTCTTGAGGAAACCGAGGTTTGAGGACGGTGCTTATCTTCCCCTGGTGGCGGAGTGGTATTTAAGAAATTAGCCAGGTCGGAGACGCCTGCCGTCTCTGACCGAGGAACTGAACGATTGGGTTGTTTGGGGAATGTCATCTCCCTCACACTTCGGGGAGTGAGAGTGTAATGGATAGTCTCGTCGCTGTTGATCAACTTGTCCAAATCGGCAAGTTCTTCTACAGAGTCCACGCTCCCGCCAGATGCGCGACTAGTTTCAGACGAGCTGCGCATGCGGGGCGGCCCAGATTCACCCTGTGGCCGATTCATGATACCCTTAAACCTGCTAGACACCTGCGAGGTAGTGGAGCCGGCAGTCACTGGACGCGTTTTCTCGCGAGCACTGCCGAAGCTCCCAGACCGGCGGGTTTTAGTGGTGATAGATGACGATGGCCGAGACATGCGTTGAACAGCGGCTCGTTCAACCGTAGAGGAAGAGGAGCTTCGATTGTTGGTTGTGACCTCCAACGGAGAAGGTCTGGGGCGGGTTTTCGATAGCTGCGAATTACCTGAACCAGAAGTCGAGCAAATGATATCGGGGGAAAGAGATTTTGCTGTTTCGGTGTATTCCTCTGATGGTCGAGTCGGAGGGGTCCCATCGTGATCGGTACGAGATGTGATAGCCTCGACGGGGGGTGCGGGTGGAGCCGGCGTGGTCTTAACCCCTTGCGCTGAAGGCTGACTCTCCGCAACGGCTTGCAGTTCAGAGTCGCTAGTTTGTTCAGAGATCGACTTCGCATTCAGTAGACTGGCGTCCTTGGAGGGTTGTCGTTTTGGTCGGTGTATCGTCGAAGTCAATTTAGGCTTTTCGCATAACCCAGTGCCCTCAATCACTTCTAGGTCTTTCTGATTCCGCCGATCACCCAAGGATACGAGGGAGACGCGAGGACTATTGGATTGATCAGTCATAGCGTCTTCAGCTTGTGCGATAGCGTGCAATGATGCAACCGTCTCCCCGACAGGATGTGTCTCCTCCTCTTCTTCATGCAAGATCGACATTCTCGCAATTTCGGAAGCTTCTTCTACAGGTTCCATAAGTGGTGTCTCTTCCTGTTCCTCTTCTGTCGTGATAGCAATGCCAGGGCTGGTTTCAGCTGCATCCACATATTCTGCTGATTCATCATCCTCGTACATAGTCTCGAGTTGCTTTTTCTCCGATGCAGTGGGTGACGGGTGGTCTGTCGGCCACTCCGGCTCCTCCTCAGTGAAGTCGGGTGTAGGTGCCCCACCAGGTAGAGACCTCGTGCGGACATGACGGATTGGATTGCCAATTTCAATAGCTGACGTACTCACGGGCGAGATGCTTGCTGAACCTGGAGATTTTGGGACAAGCGAGGGCGATGAAAACACCATCAGACTGCGCGGTCGCACCTTGTGAGCGATAACGGCCTCCATGGTCTGTACCTCCCCATCTAGATCGCCAGTATAGCCAGGGACCTCGATCTCTTGAACATCGTAATGGCTCGTTGGCAAGGGCACAGTGGCGGGGTCCAAAGGCGGGGGCATCGCCACAGGGAGAGGCTCCTTGGGCGTTATTGGCTCCTCGATGGTCACAATGCTGCTCTTTCGGCTGTTTGCCAGCGAGTATCCACGTGGGCGGAATGATTCACGGGATAGTGTTCGAGAAAGATTGGTTCCGCGTCGGCGCTGCCTCCACGTGCGCCACAGACGACCCAGGGTTGCATTCAGGGCCAACTTCTCCATATCGAGATCTTCCACCACAAGTCGATCGATTCTTTTCCGCTCATGTCCAGATCCAAACTCAGGACCGCCATTGTTGAGTTGTGCCGACAAACGAGACCGCGATGTCTCGCCGGCAATGACGAGTGCCCGCTCGCCAATGTATTCGATGATCGAGGTAAGGAAAATAGAAGCTGCGGGTGTAATATTGTCGACGTGACTGCTGAATCTGCGGGGTGCTCCATCGGTCTCTCCCAGGCTATCCTGCGCAATAAACTCATCTTCGTCATCCTCTTCCATATCGCCCAGCCGTGTGTAGACCATGCATCGTAGACGGGTTAACTTCCATGAGCGTACTAGATCAAAATCGCCGCCGGGCTCCTGGCCACCGCGGAATTCCGTCTGCTCATCGTCCGCTCCGCCCATATACTCGCCCAACTCTTCTTCAGCCGAGGCTACAACTTCCTTGGCCAGGCGGGGCTTCAACACATCAGCCATGGCGGGTCGAATGCATGCGAGCTGGGTCGACTTGGACGAAGCGAGGATATTAAACAAGAGATTATCGAGGAATCCGTTCAGGAGCGATAGCGCGGCCGGGGTCACCAGCGCGGTGGCGCCGGCCCCGGTTTCCTCATCCTCGGCGACAAAATCAGCGGCGTTGAACTCCTGGTCGGCAGAGACGATATCCGAAGCCGCAGAGGGCGAGATGAATGCTGGAGCGGGCGTCACGGACGGTGGGGACATGAGGTTGACTCGAGAAAATTGCGAATCGCTAGAAACGACACTGGGGCTGCGCGAACGGGACACGGCCCCAGTCTCCAAGAAGTCGGGTGTTTTGAAGGATTGCATTGTGTACCCCGGGTATATTTAGGTCGAGGGCTCGACTTGACAGCTTTGTTTGCCTCTTTTTCTGTGTTCCTTCGCGGACCTCGATTTGGACCGGAAGGCGCTGGGTAGAAATCGAAATTTCTAAATCATCCTGTACTCCCAGCACGGTCAGTCTGACACGATTCTGCGGGTGAAATCTGACTCGAGTGGAATCGGGGGCTTGTACGACTGCATGCGCAACGTCGTCTGGACGGGCCCCCGTGACAATGGAAGGTGGATTTCCAACTTACCCGTTTGAATCAAAGATGCGATCAGTGCTCATACCGCATTGGCATGGGGAAAGTGGAAGGAAGCGAGAGGATGAGACAGAATGACCCGTAGAGGCCAGGAGAAAGAGAGTCAGGAGTAATTATTCCATCCGAGTCAGTGGGGACCTGGGAACATTCGGGGTCGACTACGGCATGATTTATGGAGCACCTGCAAGTGTATACAAATCTTACAATCTTACATTCATCATACAATCTTACCTGATTACAGTTTGTTTTGTATACCCCATACCTTAATTAGGCTATTTCTCTGAAATGTAACTTATTCACATAGATACAGGTTTAGACAGTTACTGTACGGTCCAATTCCTATCTTATTGAGCTATTCAAGACCGTCTTCCCCCTGATTCGGAGAAAAAGCCTATCGCAGGCAAAAAAACACAGGACAATGTCCCAGCGATCGGCACGCTAAAGTGCCCCGCTCGCACCTCGTTTCAGACCCCATTGGTCGTGGACAGCCAATCATTGCATGCCGTCCCATGGATTCGGGCGGGGACACAGTTAGTCTTTGGCGCCTTTCCTTTCTGGTATAATTATTGATTTTTGGCCTCCGTCATTATTCCTCAAAGGAAGTTTGTCTGTATGCGCGGAGGACATATATTGCATGCACTCTCAAGGTATGGACCCAGAATTATTTGCAATTCTGATATCTGATATCTCAATGTACCTCATTCAGGTATGACCCGCTAGTACGGAGTACTACGGGGCACATTCGGTAGTGCAGTTGTTAGCGCATAACATCCTTTTCCACACGTTCCTCAGCCGTTCCACAGCTCCCAGGGGTACACGAGGATAAGCCTGTGGCGCACAAATGCCATGCTACGGGGACCCGGTCCCAGTTTCTAGAAACTTTACGTATACATTTTATATTGCCAGGCCTTGGAATGCTTTCCTATCTGAGACAATTATCCCGACTTATATCGATTCCCCCAATCAGCAACGGTTCCCTTGTAGGCCCCCTATGTCACGCGCAGTGCCTGATCTGAACCATTCAACTGTCAACTCTGGCTCCTCCAATCACTTCATTTGCCGAATCTCACCCGTGGAATGACCATTCCAATCAATTTCTTTGAAGAACCTGTCTAAGCGAATGAGAGGCTGAGAGCCCCATCTATTAATATATTGTATATTGTAGTTAGCTGAAAACGGATAATACAAGTGTACAAGGTGCGGAATGTGCGGAGTACTCCGTTACCCACCTCATACATCGGAGATGACAGGACTCGGGTCAGGTGGGCCTATGTGACAGTGAACAATAGGGTCGCGACTATTGCCAGCAGCTCCAACGTAGTGCGCACTAGCAGGAACTAACGATAACAATGCACATTGTCGGATAACACCTTAATCCTGCAGAAGATCAGGAGTTTCCAACTACCGGAATCCCAGAAAAAGCAAAGAATAAATGTACAGCGCACAACTTGTTCTCGCGCCTTGCAGCACTGCTCCATAGATCCAGCGATATATCAGATCCTATCCTTATGCATATTCCCTGGCCTGTACCACCCCTCAGCCCTAGAAGCAGCTTATCTTGTACAGCATCAACATCCCAGAACACCGTCTACGCACCAGCTTCATCCAATCTCACGCAGGAGTCACCGTATCGCCTAACAAACCACGTGGTAGCCGGCGTTGAAATATTGTCATTCTCACTGATTCGAATAAGCCTTTACTCAGCCGTGTCTGTATTTCCACTCCCGATAACCCCATAGTTATGGATATGACTATGACTCGTAATCGTCATCAAACAACTTGGTTCACCTAGCGACTGGCCCTTCTCCGTGCTCCCCAAACTCCATTTTTAGAGTCTACGTACCCCATACGGAAAGAAAGACACTCCACTCTGTTCCCTAGCTGTCAAACCCTTCCTGACAATCCTTCAGGGCCCCACAGGATCCTGCCGTTAGCAGAAAACCGATAATTCGATTGATGGATTTTTGGCCGAATATCTCCGCGATTTCTTCTTCATCGGTGTATTTCTCCGTGAGGCTCTTCATGCTTGAGATCTATAACGAGAATGACACAGCGGTATACAGAGCACATTGTATGCACTGCTACTCAGATGGTCATTTTGCTCGATCATCAACCACATTATACTCCGTACAGCAGAATATCATCCGAATAAGGGAACTCGAGATCGTCAATGATCGACAGCAAGGTACGACAGACGCAAAAAATGACAGAGAGAATAGGAGCCCAAAGTCTATTTCGGCCAGATCATATTCACCGCATCGTTCTAAAAGTCTAAATGAAAGCCCCCTACTCCGTAGCTACTCCGTATGCTACGCCTCGGTGGGTTTTGGGTTTCTCCCCGTGCTGTCTGTGCTCGACGCCGTTGTGATCGACGGATTTAATTAAAAACGGCGAGTCGATAACTTGACCTTTGGGTTTATCTGATATGTCACTTCGAAACGGTCACATTTCTTCCGAAAGCAGCGTTGTTGGGAGATAGATCCAAGGTTACGGATTATACTCCGTACTATCGTATGCCAATCCGGGTGATCTTCACTGCATGAAGATATGCGTTATACCCGTCATAGCACTAACTCCCGACTACATACTCCGTACATACAATATCGAACTTATAACCGGTGGAGCTGGATACCGTCTGATCCATTATTTCCTGTCACTCATCATCTAACTGCCAAGTTTGCACCCTCAAATGAAACAACTGATAATCCCCGCTGATTTTGACGGGGCTAGGTGGATAACTTGTCTGCATGAAGTCCGTTGCATATGTAAAGTCCCACCTCTGAAGGAATGGAGACTAGAAACAGAGAACGAGAACGAGAGTGAAAAAAAAAAAAAAAAAATGAAGTCTCCTATGTTGTATGTTGTATAGGGTGGTTTAGTAGTAACCGATCTTGTTAAGCCGTAGTTACGTACTCCGCATACCCATGATCTACATACAAAATACTTCAACGTTCTTCACAAAACAGTTACTCCGCACAGCACACGCCTCGTCCAAAAATACATCAGCCCATCCCTCCCCTGCAGGGAAGAAAAATAGAAATTCCCCGGGCCGGAACGCCCACTAGTGTCTAGGCCCTTTGCCAGCTAGTGATAAAGGGGCTTGGTTGGCGTATCAGGTGTGTTAGAGAAGTATCAGGAGATTTTCTAGGAGATTTCTAGGAGAATAATGGCGTGTTATAATTAATCTTTAACTACAGTATTACTGTAGATCAATAGGTACTGTTCCTTTATGGTATTCTCACATAAATGGTACAAATGATACAGCATCTTTTTTCCTTAACCCCTGCATAGGTATGAAATTTATAGGTTTAGCCATGTTGTGTAAAAGGGCTTTAGGTAATGTGATACTGATATTGATTTTGGTTAGAAATATAAGTGTATTGGGTATGTATTTAGAGACTTTTGAAACATCTAACTCGGAGCTGGTGGTACGATATATATACTTCGTCATACTACTGTGAATATTAAGCAAGCACGGAGCAATAGGTGCATATGTTTAAGAACACATAGGTATATGTACAGTGAGTGTAACCTTAAAACGTTGAGTATCTAGGACTCAAAATGGGTAAGGGAGGTTGAACAGTTGTTACAGTATGGTATACTTCGACTATTTAGAGTCAAGACTGGCATTTTCTTTCCGTCTCGCCTTGTCCGAGACTCGGATGTTGTAGGTGGGGTTTAGGTCGGAAAGGAGTGAATGAGAATGATTGGCTAGGCACTCGAGGTCGGAGTCCCACGGAGGCAGAAAAACAGGTTTAGCTACACCTGAATCATCAACTTGCGAACATCTGAAGTTTTGAAATTGTTTTTTTTTGAATACATATCAAGTGCTAGTTCGGGAAAATACATGACCACTGTCAAAACCTATTCCGAAAGCAACTTATGAGAAGTTTAAATGCTTTTCCTGGCTAAAGAGCCGTCCCATTGTGTGCCCTGATAGTCGGCGAATCCGAAAGAAATGTTTGGTCATAATCGTAAAGTCGTGTTATTTGTTTGCCGATGTGCAAGCAGATCTTAGACCTGTGCAGGCAACGTTTTGGTACCGAGTTCGTGCGCAATGCCGCCAGCGAAGAAGCTCAGTTCATCAGGGCCAATTTCAACCCGACCACTCGCCAACCTGTCCAGCAGGAATTTTTCAATTTTGTTTAAGAGGACTTGGTGGTGATCCAAGCCTAGGGTCGACGAGCTTGTATCGTTTTGTTTGCCGGCTTGCTCTACTGTGCGGAGTCTGATCAACTCGTTGAGCTCGTCCTCAGCGAGGAGGTTGCAGAAGGTTCCAGTGACATGGTTGGAGACTAGGTCGAGATACAACGAAGGCGCACCCTCTGTATCCACGAATTCGGTATCCTTGCCCAAGCGAATATGGTCAACCTGAACTCGAAGGTAAGTCTTGTACTTCGGTGTAACAATCCCGCGGATACCATTCATGTAAGCGACAAAGAGACTGCAGTCCAAGTCCACGGCATCGCGGGAAAACTCTTCTGGTTGGTTGGTAGATTTGCGACCAAACTCTTGATGACAATGTTCTTTTCTGGACTCGGCGATGTCCATTTTATCGAGTTGATCTAGAAGTGTTTGGGTGCCTTTCGAGTCCCGAGCAAGCATCATCATTTCATGGCAAGTCATTTGGTGATCAGGACCTTCGTCATCCGATACTTCCACGCTGTCAATGTACTCTACCTGCGGGTCAAAGCGCACAGAATTCTCCTCAAAGGAAATGAAGGC